CATATTTTTTATGACTCGGCCGCCTTTTTAAAACAATTGTGTGCTAAATGTAAGCCTTCAATTTGCCAGAGATTTAAAGGCGGCCTTTGCTTTGCGACTTAATTAAGAGGACATTTTATAGCGGCAGCATCATTGGGCGAGGTATTATAAGACCTCAGGGTCATCAAACATGTCAGAGGTGGCTTTATTTAAAGTTAATTTTTCAAACATTTTTTTTTTCATGTTTTTATCAACAAGATTGGTTGTGCTTTAAAAAGGTAAATTAAATCAGTAAGGCTGAAAAAGTAGTACTTGAAAATAACAAATCAGTAAATCAGACACAAATAAACCCAAAAACTAATGGTATATTAAAAGTGTCTACTTAGCTGCTGCCCTTCCCTACTTTTGTCGTTTATGGCGCAGAAATGATAAGCAACATTTTTAGTTGTTACTTGAATGTAAATCCATTTTAAATACTCGTACAAAACAGAATCACTTCAAGGCCTTCCTGTTATAAATCCATGCATAAGCCCCACACTTCATTCAACTCTCGAGTGTGCGTACTTGAGGAGCCAGCAATTATCTCTGGAGATTTCCGTAAAATAGCAAAACTACAATGAAAATCAATTTAAAATGCTGCGCGCAGTGCGTTCAAGTGCTTTCCCCAGAAATAGACACAGATTCAAGAATTGATATGGGAACGATTCAAAGCAAGGTACCGGGGGCAAAGGGAGACAATACCATATAGCAACATCGACGAAAACAACAACAACGACGATGACAACAACGACGACGACGACCTCGCACTTGAGTGCGCACTCATTAAGAATTCAAATGCTTGCTTTTGAAATCAAGTGATTTAAACTATACCGACTACGGCCGACTACGTCACACAAATGCCAATTTATTTATTGCCATTAATTTTTATACTCTGTACATGAAATGTACAAGAGTATATTAGGTTTGCGGGAGCTGAAAAATGTAACAGGCAGAAGGAGGCGTGGCAGACCCCACAAAGTATATATATTCTTGATCAGCATGACGAGACGAGTCGATCTAGCCCTGTCTGTCTGTCTGTCCGTCTGTCCGTCTGTCCGTCTGTCCGTCTGTCCGTCCGTATGAACACCTGGATCTCAGAGACTATAAGAGATAGAGACACCAAATTTTGCACGAAGATGCGTTATGTGTGTATTCTATACGAGTTTGTTTTATTTTTTTGATTTTCCCCCCCACTTCCCCCCTATGGGGGTTTTCCCGATTTTCCATTCGTATAATCGCCTATATCTCGGAGACTATAAGACCTAGGAACACCAAATTTTAGTCCCAGATGCCTTATGTGAATACGCAGAAAATGTATATTTTGGAATTCCCCTCCCTCCCCCCTCTACCCCGCAAATCGTAACTCCCGTAATTCTTGGAATTTCGAACTAAAATTTTGGAAATACCCCCAGTTAGTTATTATGTGTCCGTATGCCAAATTTCATTATGATAGACCGATTTAACAAGAAGTTATAGCCATAAATATATTTGCTGATGCAGCGCTGCTGCAGCGCTGCTCAAGCGCTGCCCGCGGCTGTTGTTGATGTTGCTGTTTGGTTGACTGCGAAAATGCTTACACAGACACGAATTGATGCGCATAGGCATACATACACTCACACAGACGCAATTGCTATGTAAATGTGCAATTATACACCCTTTACGTGAGTTCGAATACCGAGAGAGGTAAAATCGATCAAATTTTTTTTTTTATTTTCTTAATTTTTTTTATTTTCTATAATTATTGTAAACATATGTACAGAGTATTTCAAAGTCGGGACACCCGACTTTAGCTTTTTTACTTGTTTTTATTATGCCAGCTGATATTGTGAATTATTGTTAAACGAAAACAAACAACATGCGCGGTCAGCTGACAATAAAAATCAACAGAAACGACGCACATTCTGGTCTGAATTTTGAAAGTACAAACACTCGCAGTTCAACAAAATTGCCAATTCTGTAACATCGTTTGTCAGATAAGACTTGGTTTTGAATATGGAAGCTGTACAATACAAAGTCAATTTCATGACTTGAATTGAAGATATCGTTTGAAATTTACCCTTTTCCCCATTTAAGTGGCATTTTTGCTTAGCTATTGAATATAATATTGACATTTTGTGGCTACCAAACACTGAAACACATTAACACTGAAGAAAATTTCTTTCTTCTGTTATTAGTTTAAACCTATTAAAGAAACTCTATTTCGAAAACATTCCTGCGAAAATTTCAATGTTTTCAGAACATGTTTCAATTAAATTTTCTGACAACTCTGATCGACTGTAACTCGCAATATTGTTCAAACATTAATGATTTAACGATGTTTCTTCAAAGTGCAGACATTTTGGATACCATGTGTATATATTTTTGACCCGCAGTCGTATTCAAATTCTTAAATATTGCTTCCAAATATGAAACCATGCATTGCATGCGGAACTATTTATCATTTTCAGCAACGTTCTTAAATCCATGATTAAGAAACAAACGAAAGCAATTTCCAGCCGTTATTTTATAAATCATAAAAATACGTTTGGAAATTAAATCTATAGCTGATTTATTGGCAATTTAAAATAAACTTAAGTCACCGAAATCTGTGATACATGCGCACACAAATCTGGGTATCTGTAGCTCTTGTAGTTGCCGAGATCGAGGCGGTCATACAGTCAAACAGGCTGACTGACTGGGTTCTGCCCTCGCTAGGGAACACAAGAAAAACGTGCAGTTCTTGCCACATTGGGAACAGTCAGACGGAAGTGTGTGTCCGTTTGTGTGTGTGTGTGAAGTCTAAACAACTCTTGGCAAGATTTGTGACTGCTTTCTTTCTACACAGCTGTCAATGGAGGCCAGTTCCTGTCATGGCTACAGTTGTTGCCACTATTATTGTGGTTGTTGCTACTGCTGTTGTTGTCTTGACTTGTATGAATTTAGGGCATGCGGATATCTTTGCAACTGTGTTTCACTTCAACGCATTTTTATAGACCATGAAAGCTTGTAGCATGTGGGTATGCGAGAAGGCCCAGTTGCCTTTAGAGAATGACTCAGTGTTTGCTGTTGTTGGTCAACGAATGAAACGAAGACACGCGCATTGTGGCTACATTTCCGTTAAATGCGAAACATTTTGTTAATTAATTTATGTTTATTTTGAAACGAATACAATTTGTGGTTTTTCGTTGATTTCTACACGCATATGTGCATACGAGTATAATGCGATGAGTCAATAATTAATGGGCTTAACTTTCAGTTACAATGCTAGAGATATAGTGGAGGCAGCTTTTTTGGTAAAACAAATAGCGCCTCTAGCTTCTGGAGAACTGCAAAATTAAACTGAAATTTTAGCGAAATGACGTAAATAAATAAACAGAACGGAAGCAGAACGGAACTCGGCGTGTCTCAGCAATCAGCACAACTAGCAACATAATTTATTTGTATAGAAATAAATAAAAATTTGCTAACCAACCAGTTTATTGGGAACTGGCATGCAAGTTTATAGTCAATGCTTCGAATACAGATTCGATGAACTTTTCAGCTAAGTTTTTTAACAAGTTATCAAAAGATGTTGAAAAAGGTAGCTAAAGGATTTATTTTCTGAACTGTATTTGAGAACTAATAGAGCGTAGAAAAGCTCTTCTGCATTATTCGAATATTGATTCGATGAACCATGCTGGACTTAGGTTTGCAAGTAAACAATACCGTACTGCTGATATATTTTCCTTTTTCTTTATCATTTCCCTTTTCCATGAGTTCAGTGTTCATAAATCCCATCACTTTTCGATTTTCAACTTCATAAAGATTCTTTAAAAGCTGCACTTCATTTTAATTCTAAATCCCATTTCGTTTTCAACTTGAAATCAAATTTAAATGCAAATTGAATAATAAGTGGTAGAATTTACTTTTCAAAAATCAACATAATTTAGAGATAAATATCAGAATTCAGACTCAAAGTCGCACAAAGCTGCACAGATGGAACGTTTCACTTGATATGCATCGCATAGGTAGTTGGCTCAGTTTTGGCCAATTGTGCCAATTTCGGTTTTGGCCGGCCAATCATAAATTTCGTGCCATGCTGCCTGATTAGTGTGTGGCGGAGTCGAGAAATCGAAATCGAGAAACGCTGAGCCCATTATGCGCGCCTACGCCAACAAAGTCTTCCATCAATGACAACAATCAATCACGACACACGCACGCACCGAAATCAAATTATATACACGCACATACATATATACAGATTCATATATGTATACATGGACGACTGTATTATGTGGGGGAGGGTTGTACGAACGCACAAACTAAATCCGATGAGCTGAAAAAAGTGAAAATAATTTACAACACAAAGCCGACGGCGTATTTCGAGCAGCGAAGACGAGGCAGCAGATGCCAAGGAACAAATCACTTTGAACTACATAGACAGGACACACTTCTTCTTCTTCCTCCTCTTCTTCTTCATTCTTATTACTATATGTACGAGTATGTTAAAAAATTGAAAACACAATTGTTTAATTTTTTCGCATAATTTTTTGCTCAAATTACGTCGCATAATTTTGAATAATTTTTATTCATGTTTTGTATTTGTTTGTTGTTGTTTTTTTTCTTTCTCATAATTTGTTGTTGTATTTGTTTGCCATAAATTTGTTGGTTTTAATTAAATTTTATTTCATATGTGTTTTTTTTTTTTGTTTGTTTTCTTTCAACAATTTTTGCTTTGCTTCGCCTTTTAGTTTAGCATATTTTTGTCGTTTAAATGTTTTTTTTGTTTTATATATTTATATATATATAAATTAATATGCATATATATAATTTTTAGCAGTTATTATTATTGTTGTTGTTGTATACACGCACACATAAGCTTATATGCAGTTGCTGTTGTTGTGGTTGTTTAATTTAAATTAAATTAGATACTAAAATTATTTTATAACAAATATCACTACAATAGTTTGCATTTTTTGTTGTTTGTTGTTGTTGTTGTTTGTTGTTGTTATCAATTTACTACAATTACAGAAACAAAAATATGTTCTTTACTTTGCCATTTCTTCATACTTTTTTCCTTCAATCAACAATTATTCTTTTTAACTTTTTTTTTAACAATTTGCAACATTTTTTTTTGTTTTTAGCAACGCTTTTGAAATGAGAAGTGAGAAAGAGAGAGAACAAAATAATATACGTTTTAAAGGCAATTTGTAGCTTTTACGAAATTTGATAAATTATAATTCTAAAGCAGGGTGCGGGTGGGGATGCAGGAGGGGCTAGGTAGGACTATGGCATGGACGTTTACTTGGTAAACGCTCGTCTTAGTTGTGGTTGTTGTTGGTGCTAGTGGTGGTTGGCCGCTGCTTTCAAATGTTGCTGGCGTCGTTGACAATGTTGCTGTAGCTGTGGCTGGCTTAGTTGTTACTGTTGCTGTTGTAGTAAGCAGATGGTGCTGTTGTTGTTGCTGTTTTATGGGATCACACATTATAGCAGGAGATTTGCTGCAGATGCTGGAATGTTGGCGTTGCTGCAATGGCCGCCGTTGCCGCTGTTGCTGCCGTAAAGGGAGCGAATGTTGTTTGGCCCAAATTGTTGGCCAAATTGCTGGCCGCTGCCAAGGCATAGGGATGCATGCGTTGGGAACGCAAATATTGCCGATATTTGCCACTCAGCTTATCGGTGGCTATATGGGCGGCGGCAGCTGCTCCCCGCATGGGCGTGGTTTCAGGACCGGCCTGATAATTACTAGGAACTGTTGCCATCGGCGAGCGATCGATGAGCAGTTGGGCCGCAGCAGCTGCTGCAGCAATGCTGTTGGTAGTGGGTGCGGCAACAACACTCACTGTTGGATCTCCCCAAGTGTTTGCCACAGGTGGCAGACAGTGCTGTTGTTGTTGTTGCTGCTGCTGTTGCTGCTGTTGTTGGTGCTTGATGTTACTGCCACTACCATTGCTGCTGCTGTTGCTGTTGTTGTTGCTGCTGGCACTAGTGTTGTTACTGCTGCTGTGATAATTGCTGCCTGAAATCATGGCATCGCGTTTGCCGGCGGCTGCTGTGGCGCCTATATTAAGACTGCCTTTGGCATATAGCGGTGGCGCCAACATGTGTGGCGTCATGGCGGAGCGAGCGGCAATGGCCGCTGCCAGCTGATCCCACTGCGCTGTCTGTTGCAACGTACTGGCGGCAGAGGCAGCGGCGGCGGCAACAGCTATTGATGAGACGTTGCTGCCGCTATTGCTGTGGCTGTGAGTGGCGGTTGTTGTGGGCGCTGCTGCTACTGAGGTGGTGTTGCTGTTAGTTTGACTTTGGCTTAGACGACTTTGGTGGTTGCTGCTGCTACGTGGGTGTTGTTGTTGCTGTTGCTGCTGCTGCTGTTGCTGTTGGGCGCGTCGCACGTGCTCCAGACTAGACTGTTGTTGTTGTTGCTGCTGCTGCTGTTGTTGCTGCTGCTGATGCGCCGGCAATGGTTGCTGCTGCACTGGATAATGCGCTTGCTGCGACATTTGTGACATTTGCTGCTGTTGGCTGTGCTGTTGCTGCCTCAGTTGCTGTTGCTGCTGCTGATACTGCGCCACTTGTCGTGCAGCTACCGCCGCCTGCTGCTGTTGCAACTGCTGCTGCTGCTGTTGTTGCTGCTGCTGCTGTGTTTGTCTGGCGGCGCGTCTCGCGGCACTGCTGGGCGCTGCTACTGTAGCCACCGCACTGGCACCACCGAGCGCCGCCGCCGAGCTCACTGTTGAGTTAGCAACACTGCGCGCAGTCGCCTGCATGTTGTTAACAAAGGGACTGCGGCGCTGGGACTCCATCTTCCGAAAGTAGCAGGGATGGATCATGAGGAGGGGCTCGACGCGTTGGCCGGCGGGCGGCTTTGGCTGATTGGGCAACTCGTACTCAACGCTGCAGTCGACATGCAGTGGAATGCTGTAGTCCTTCTGCTGTGGTGGAGAGTTGCTGCTGGTGCCGCCGCCAACAACATTGCTGTTGACTGCGGGCGTGGCAGCAACGTTGCTGCTACCATTGCTGCTGACCACAACAGCGGCAGCTGCAGCAGCGGCGGCGGCGGCAACACTTTGACGTGAATTAACTGCTGCTGCCGCTGAGAGGCGCGAGGAGGTGGAGGAGGCGGGTGTCTGTTGTTGTTGTTGTAACTGATGTTGCTGCTGCTGCTGGCGCTGCTGATGATGCTGCTGTTGCTGCTGTAGCATTTGCTGCTGATGGGCGGCAACAGCAGCAACATGATGCTGATACATGTGCTGTTGTTGCTGCTGTTGCTGCTGCTGCTGATGATGGTGATGATGTTGCTGCTGCTGTTGTTGCTGTTGGTGCTGCTGTTGCTGTTGCAGCGCAGCTACTGCAGCAGCAGACATGCCGTGAGAAAGTGACGACATGTCATAATTCGCATAGCAAGCGGCCATCGTCATGTTGCTGTTGTTGTTGTTAATGATGATGCTGCTGCTGCTGCTGCTTTCGCAAATTGTCGTTTCGAGGTTTAATTCTTTACGAATAGTTGCTCGTCACTTTGCCACTTTTAGAACATTTTGCATTGAATTTGCGTTTTTGTTTTTGCTTTCACACTTTCAACAAATGCTTCTCACATTTATGCTGAATTGCTATGCTTGCTTCTTTAATTGCAATTCTTCTTGCTCATACAAAAATTCACTTTATCTTGTTGTTGTTGTTGTTGTTGATTTAATTGGCACTGGTAATCCAAAGAGACTGCAACTAACTGTAGTTGCTGCTGTTGTTGTTATTTTAGGTAATCCGTGTGTTGGCTTTTATAATGTTGTTGGTTGTTGTTGTTGTTGCGAGAGGAACCTTAATCCATATGTCGTTAGCAGGTAGTTTTGGATTTCGTTACTTGCTTTACTTTAATTCTTCTTCCGTTATATTCTTTATTCTTTGTTAGTTGCTATTATAACTAATGTTGATTTTTTCTTATTCAACCCGTATTCAATTTTTCGTGTTTAACTTTTTTTCATTAATTTGTTGTTATTGTTGTTATGTATATATATGTTATTATTTTGTTGTTATTTAGCGTTTTAATCAGTCTTTGTTTTAATGCAGACAAAATATATGCGTTTTCTATTTAGCTGCAACTTTATATTTTATTTGTTTATTATTTATTTGTTGTTGCTTGCGAAAAAATTTAATTTTTGTTCAGTCTTTTTTATACAATAATTTTATCATAAATGTTTCGCTGCGCTTTGTCAGTTGTTGTTGCTGTGTTTGTCTTTGCCGCGGCTATTAAGCATTTACAGTTTGTTTTTTCTTATTTTTTGCTTCTCTTTCTGCCTTCTTTACTATGTCTCGCACGTTACGCGACGACGACGCCGAGCGCAAAGAAATTCACACGTCCGTTAGCGGCGACCAGCCCAAGCGTAGTGAAATGTCTGCCGCTGCTTGCTTGCAGTCGAGAGGCCGAAACGCAGCGCTGAATGCGCCAGAGAGCGAGAGCAGAACTGCGCAATGGCGGCGGCGCTGAATGCAGCAGGAGAGCCAAAGGCAAATAACAGCTGTTAAATGTTACGTTGTTGTGGTTGCGACTTGCTACGTTTGTTGTAGTTGTGAAGTTGCTGTTGTTGTTCACTTTAAGTTTTTTTCTTTTTAATTTCTCACACAATTTTTGCATATGCTGCCACTTTTTTTCAGCTTCGCTTGCTTTTATTGTTGGTTGAATATCACAAAATGTTGCTGATCTTATGATTTTTATGAGTCAGCAATTTAAGCAAACTTTTCGAAAATTTCAGGTAATTGTACAAAAAATTCTTTAAGATTCTTATAATTTCTTCATTTATTCAGAATATTCTTCCAATTTTACAACGCGTCGTCTGCACGCGGCGAGCTCTTTAAAGCGACTGTCTTGACTGCTTCTGCTGCGTATTCGATTTGCTGTCTGCTGCTGACGTCGCTGCCTGCCTTTTGCTGCTCTCTCCCTCTCTCTCTGTCTCTGTCGCTCTCTCTTTCTACACTTACAATGGCCCTTTTTTGTTGTTCTGCTGTTGTTGTTGTTGTTGCTTTCGTTTTACCTGCTGTTTTCAACGCACAGCTGATTTCTACTGGCCTGTGACGTCGTCATCGTCGTCGTTGTATTCAGCAAAACACACGCACACACACATGCAGCGCGCAACATTGTCGTTGCCTGCTTGTTATTGTTGCCGTAAAGCTTAAGCCAATTGCATTCAATGGGAAAAACACATTTAACTCTCGCACTCTCTCACAACATTTTTGATGCCCGTCTATGTAGCCGTGTGTGTGCGTGTGTGCATTTACAAATTCAGCCATATTACGACGGCGGCCATCTTTACAACTGTTTTAGTGCTCGGTGTGTGAGAGCGCCGACAGAGCGGCCTATGCTATTATTGTTGTTGCGGTCAGTGTTGCAAATTTTTAAGCTTCAAAACAGCTGGACCAGCCATTACAAACCGCTAGAAACGCTAAATAAATATACATAGGTATACATAAGTACATACATATGTATGTATATACAAAGTTTAATTACTATAATATTTTGGTTTCATGTCTGCAAAACAAGTCTGCAGAAAATATTTCACATGATTATCACTATCAATTCGTATAGTTGTTGATATGCTGGGAATATAAACTAATAAACAAATACTTGAAAATCCAATATATTATGAAATTCTATCTAAATTCTATAACTAGATGTTCTGAAAAGCTTGGGGCTCTGTCAATCGAAATCTTATACAAAATATAAATTAAGCCTAGATACTACATGAAACGACCACTAACAAATAGAAGACCAACCATGTTAATAATAGGACTTAATAAAGTTTCTAAGGCAGTTGGCAAAGTCAGCTTTAAAATTTTTCAACCAATCGATTCGAAAGAACCTTAAAGCTGACGGGAAAATCGCCACATTGCCAACACTATTATGCGGTAGCCTTTTTATGCGGGCCACGGGCCACTCATATTATTTTGTAATAATTTTATGTTGGCGTCTGAGCGCAAGTGTTGATGAGAATCTCTGAGTCGGTCTCTCTCGTTTTCGAGTGTTACTGTGTGTGTGTGTTTGTGTTGCCCTGCTTTACTATTTTACTTGTGGTTTTTTCTTCGTACGTACATACAGACAACGTTTTTTTTGTTGCCGTTTGGCCTCTGTTCGCAATTTTATGACTGGCATGGTCATAAAAGTTGGCAATTGGGGCACAATTGACTGCTGGACTGGAGAACTCAAACGGCAGCGGCAGCGATCAAGGTGCCGAGGCAAAGATCAGAAGCCAAATACTTAATATTTCATTCTAATTTATTGCCATTTATTGCGATTCTAAAATTTGCTACTTGCTGCAATGCTAGAAATGTATTAATATTAGTGTAGCTCTTGAATTCGGAATTTATGTACATATGTATTTATTTCCTACTTCCTACTTCAAATGAAAAATGTTTGAAAGCTCATAAATAGAACCATACAGGAAAGCCTCAATAACTTTGCGATGGCTCTCTAATGCCTAAACTTGTCATTCTGTCGACCTTTTTTTTTTCTATAGCGAAAAAACCCGGGAAGTGACGCTGTTTTATCAAGTAACCCCAAGACCCGTTTTATCAAAATAAGAGAGTATACTATAATTAAAATACCCTCTGTGTCCGTCACGAACTCGAGATTTATCCCAGTACATATTCATATTAATCACAAAACACGGGTTTATATAGAAGTTTAAATATCTTTGTAGTTTCGAACAACTGAGTCGCAAATAGCAGGTAGCAAAACTATTCAACTTTAATTACAAAAGTTAATATGTCAATACTTTTCAAAGCGTACACCGGTTTGAAAATATCTACATTTATGCATATGTACTATATATATATGTACGTATTTTCATACATACATATGTAGTTCTATGTCCATCGCTATTCATCCGCTTCTTGCCCAAATGCACCTTGTCTGCATTTCATTGCTGGGCTCTGCTCAGCTCAGCTCTTATGTACTTCTCGCTTGATGAACGCCGCTGCCGCCGCCGAAATGCGAATTCAATGCCCTGACGACAAGGTGCGGCACACTAAAACAGAATCCCAAAAGAAGGGAGATAGCTGAACCAAAAATAATGCGAAAAAAGGCCAAATGGCACATAGAAGTAAAAAAATCAGCAACTAAAATAAAATTAAAACTAAGCCACACGGAAACTGCGCAATGAGCGCATTTTCAGCATAAAAATCATGTGTGTGTGTGCTGTATCTATGTAAGTACGAAAAAAAATGAAACGAAACGAACAAGCAAAGCAGAAGCAAACGCCAAAAACGGACAGCAGCAACTAAAAGCGTAAAAAGCAACTAAAACAACAACAACAACAGCAGCAGCCAACATTAAACTTAAATGTTGCAGACATTTCTGCACTAAAAACTACACAATTTAAGTCAAAAGCCCCAACAGGCCCCCCCTCCCGCTCCCTAAAAGCTATGCTACAAAATTGTCTGCACGACAAGCCTTGCGCATACGTCACACACACACAGCAGCAGAAACACAGACACAAGCAGACGGCAAATGCATAGAACACGATTACATACAGACAGACACACACACATTGTAATAAATAAGGAAGGTCGTTGCCATAGCAGCAGCCGCCGCTGGCGTCGTCGTTGCCGTCGTTTTTTTGGTTGTTTGTTATTGTTGTTGCTGGCGGTGAGCGTGAGAATTAAGCATCGGCCAATTCGCTCTCTTACGCTCTCCGGCGTATTCAGCACCAGCGCAGCGCACAGCTTCGTTGATAATAAAAATCAGCTGTTTAGGTGTGGAGGTGTGTATAGCTCTTCGGTTTTTATTATTTTTTTGTCTTCTCGCCGTCTGTCACTGGTTATTGTTGTTGTTGGAGCATATGTTTTGTTGCTGCTGGCTGTTGGCGTCTCTGCTGCTGCGCTGCTGTAACTACTGCTATTGTTGTTGTTGCGTCTGCTTGCGTGTCCAATGCCTGACTCGACCGCATTACAATGTAATGATTACGAAGGGGGCTACACATTTAAATTAGCACACACTGAAAATTGCCCAAGAAAATTACAAACAATTAAATTAAATATAAATAATGTGAATATGTATATAAATGCCTACACATACATACACACATATATTTAATAAATATAGCAATAAGGGACGTCACAAAAACTTTAACAGGTTGAAATAAAAATGTATGTAATGCCTGTATTTAAATTTTAAATAGCAGGTGATTTTCATTATTCATCGACTGATACATACTACATGTGCTTAAATGTCCGCTAATTGTACATCGATTTCGATGAATATTTACTGAAACTGGCGATAATTGTGAAACAAATATTTAAAGCCCTTTCAACACCGATGCAGTAATAAATACTTTTTGGACTGAGAGCCTCTCTGCATATTAAAAGTTTGTTAAATTTTATTATTTTTATAAGTACAAGGGTATTTGTTTGAGTCAAAAAGTTATTTATTTATTTATTTACATACATATATGTATGTATGTTTGTTTGTATATACATAACTGCAAATTAAATGCTAACCTAATGTTTAACGACTTGTATGTATGGCCTTCAGTATGTACAGGATGATGATTGTAATATTTCGAATACCATTCAATCAAGAACATAAGTGTTAAAGTGCACTTATGCATGAACATTTTTGGATACATATACTTATTTTTTTTTTATTTCATTTAATATTTAGTTTTTGGAAGTTTACAATTAATTTAATATTTTGGAGCATTTGTTTGTATAAAAGCAATGGATAGTGAAGAGTTTATTTCAAAATGTTAATCTGAAAACAAACTATGTTTGAGTTTGTGAGCTAAGCTCTGCACCATTTCATTTTCAGCTTTTGATTTACATAAAATTTATGAAAATGAAAGGTTATTGAAATATTGTCATGGGCTAGAACAGTTGACAAAATTAACTCCTTAATCAGAACTAGCTTGAGGTACTTAAATAATTCGAACCAATAAAATGTTGTTCTCGCTTAGTTATTGGACTCCTATACTTGGTTGCCGGGCGGCACGTGGTTCTTTCATAGAGTATTGGATGTGGAAAGTGATGTAACCAGACGAGGCAAAATTAACCCGATTTTGATTTTTGTGCTTTTTGCAAAATTAAAGACGTGCTGCATCAATTTTGGCTTAAAACATACATTTATAAAATATTCTTTGGCTTCAGATCTTTGATTTAATTCCTTGAAATATATTCAAACGCATTTCTGTAAACAACAGATTAATATTCTATTGACTAAAAATTTTCTTAAAGCCTTCGTTTACAATTTTCTGATACCTTGTCAGGGGTTTGCTTCAGAAAACATGCACTATGGTGGTGCTATATATTTAGGTCTCTCTAATTTATTTGTCCAGCGATATCAATATCATAACTCAAGCGTTTGCCTTTCACCTCAGCTGGCACCCTTTTGCTGCGCTCGCCGCAGGCTGCAGAGCTCCTTCACAGAACCGTCCTTTTAGGAATTGTTGTTCATGATGTTGTTGTTGTTGCTGATGATGATGGGAAACCTGTTTGCATTATTAAGTAACACAGCTCAGTTGGGTCGCTCTGATGCTGAGGAAACCGGTTCAATGGCTTCCTGTATGCGCATTCTAAAGAAGATTTCTACTTACAGCAGACTGAAAAGAACAGAGGAAGACAAAAAAAAATAACAAAAAATACAAAATAAATCCAAGATTGTTTGCAGGAACTTTCGTTTTTTATTTTCACGAGACGGTGACGAACACGAAGACTGACTGTGGAGTCTAGTGGGATTGGGATT